GCCTGATTGCTCTGGCTAGGACTTCCAGTACTATGTTAAATAGGAGTGGTGACAGTGGGCATCCTTGTCTGGTTCCTGTTCTTAGAGGGTCATCTATCATTGCTTTTGCACCACTGGTGCAAATGTCACTACAGTAAAAAAGGCAAAAAACTTCTTAGTATTACTAAGAAAATAGCTTTGACTCATGGATACCTGAAAGAATCTTGGGGATCTCAGGGGTTCACAGACCACACTTTGAGAACCACTAATCTAGAGGCTTAATCAAACTCAGGCTTGAAACTAAGCTTTTTGAAGGCAGGGACTGTTCCTGTTTCATAGGAGTCCAAAGGTTCATTGATCTAAATTCACACCGAAGATATGTGCCCTCTTTTCCTAGGAGTTCAAACTCCTTTAAATAAATATTCTAATTTTCTAGAATAGGGTATTAATAGGTTACTGACTATTAGTGGAATAACTCCAGATATTTAATGTTAGTACTATAAATACCATCCATCTTTTCTACATTTAAAAGAATCTAAGTTCCTAACTTTCAGTGGCTAAATAACTGAAAGATCATTATTGTCAAGGACACTTAAGCCAATTCTAGTTGAAGAGTTTTGTCATTTCTAGGAACTATTCTTATTGATCATTTCCAGAACAGAGACCTCAGAGCAATTCACAGAGCCAGTTGTCAGAACGACTTAGACAACCAGGCAACAACACTCAGCTTTACCGGGCTGTTTTTGCCTCTTGCTTCTTCTCTCTCTCCTCTCCTGTATTTCTTTCCTTATCCCATTTTCTTTTCTTTTTCCATCTGTTTCTCAGGTTAACATAAAGTTTGAAAGGCTTTTTCCCCATTCTCACTCAGATATTGTTCAGGAGGGACCTCTTCTATTTCACAGTTGTCAAAAAGTCGTCTCTGCAGTGTAGATATTTGCAGGTAAAACGTTACAATACAAAACTGGGAAACAGTCATATCAGACATGGGAATGTGAAGTGTAGTATAGAGAATAATGGATATGGAATCAGGGGATGTGGATTTGAGGTTCAGCTTCCACAATGTCATTTTAACTTTTCTAAGCTTCAATTTACTTATTTATAAAATGAAGACGACCGCCAATCCAACACAACTCTAAGTGTACTGAATAGAGTTGTGGAAATCACTATACAAATAAGTTAATCAATATGCTATTTTACTGCAATGTCTTTTACAGAATAGGTACATTTCATTCAATAATAAACCTGGAGCACCTTCAGTGGAAGGAAAAAAAACACCCGTTAGGCTCCAACCAACACTTTGGCCAGTGCTGTAGTTCCTGGTCTCTACTCTTGAATCACTGCCATATGAATTGCTCTGAATGAGGACTTCCACACTTCCACACTAGTGAGTCTAATCACTAGAATTTGTTCCTGTTATCATTCCTCTCCTTGTCTTCAAATACATGCAACAGTAGCGTCTTGGGAAATATGTGATTTTGCCTTGAAGATTGACTGTTAATGATGCAGTCCTGTCAGGATCTCGGAAAAACTTTTATACTTTTTGAACACTGCATACCAGACTTACTTAAAATTAAGGTCTGTTTCCATGTTTAGCTCCAAGCCATGTTTCAGGTAGGCCTGCAGTGGCACTGTGGCATAAAAAGAGAAATGGTGTGGGGATTTGGGGAACTGATTTCTAACGTTGGTTCTATCACTGACTATTTACTCGTAGGCAGGACTTCCTTAGTTTTCAGTCTTAGAGCAGAGAAATAAATGGCTTTGGACCAGATGATTGTTAAGAGTCCTTCCAGCTCAAAATTGTATGATGCTAAGTCCTACACCAGAAAATAAGTTTAGAGGTTAGGTAATATAATACTATTATATAAAATATATAGGGCCAGCCCCAGTGGCCTAGTGGTTAAGTTCATAGTGCTCTGTTATGGCAGCCTGGGTTCAGTTCCTGGGAGCAGACCTACACCACTCATCCGTCAGTGCCCGTGCTGTGGCAGTGGCTCACATACAAAAAAAAGAGGAAGACTGGCAGCCGAGGTTGGCTCAGGGCAAATCTTCCTCAGCTAAAAAAAACAAAAAAATATATATATATATATAAAAAAAAATAAAAATTCATAATTCTGTCAATCCCTTTATTCCTTCAGATTGAAAGTACTTAAAATTTTACATAAAGAAAATATAAATGGTATAGAAACATAAAATCTAAATTAAATAGCAAAGATATAAGCATTAAAAAAAGTATTAACCAAAATTTTTTATGGTAAATACTACCTTTATTTAAAAAAGTTATACATGCTAGAAAAAAGCATAAATGATACATGTAAACAATTGTTTACCAAATACTTATTTTTTTTTCCTCATAAAGGTGCAAATGATCTTTAAATGTAAACATAAAAGTTGCCAAACATTTTTGTAGTAGAGGGGAGGGGGAAGGAGAAGGTTATTCCTTTTGGTTTTGGTTAAAGTCTTAATTCAAAGATTTTCCTGCAATATACATTGAAAAAAATTGGTCTATGAACACAAAGACAAAAAAATTTTAACCACTGAATTTTTATCCTTTTTTCCTTAAAAATTTTAACTTTTCACCAGAAAGTACAATTTGAGAGAAGTAGTAACAGTGGCTTTATAGAATGAGGATAATGATATATATAGTTTGTATAAAAGAACCAAGATATTGTTAATAAAATGCCTCAGTTGGTGTTACACTCCTTAGCATGTCCTATTACATGAACTGAAGAATTCACTCCCTTGGAGGCCGTGAGGACAGGTAAGCCTTAGCTTCAGCAGCGTGAGCATCAAACGTCAGTTGCATAACAGCATTCACTGCTGGGGAGAGGACATTTCTCCCTGCTGGTCCTTAGTAGCAATAACGAAATAGGAGGGAAAGTTGCTTCAGTCAGTAATGTTTTCGAGCAAAAACTCTTGCAGAGTTGCACATGATTCTATTGAAGGTTTCTCAAGACAGTAAATGAGAATCGCATACTGTTTTTATAGAGGCACTGAGCAGAGCTCTAGATCTAGCAGAAACTCTATGAAAAAATTATTATAAAAAGACTTTAAATGTAGTGGAAAACAAGTTCATATGAAAGGAAACAAGATGTGAACTTTCACTGATGAAAACTTTAGTGTCTGAGTCCTGGTTTTATTGATTTAATATTCCTTCTGAATTGTACTATTTAAAATGAGATGTTTCTTTTTTTTTTTTTTTTTGCCTTTTTAGATTTTCAAGTCTTCCTGTGCTTAGTGCAAGAATGATGCCTAACTAATTCACTTTGCATACCTTTCTTTGTCACTGGTAGCCCTTGTAAGTGGCGGAGTCTTGTGGATGGAGTGCCTAGAAATAACAACTAGATCATATATAGCCCTTCTCCCCTTATTAGTATTTTCAAACTTAATATCTTAAAAATAAAGTTTTGCTGCTTGGAATTTTTGTCTTTTTTTTCCTTTTCTTTCCTTTTTTTTTCTTTTTTGGTGGGAGGAAGGCTAAATCTCACAAAACAAAACAAAACAAAACAAAAACCCCAACAAAAAAACCATGATAAATTAAAACCAAAAATAAATATTCTTCTGCACAGAATTGAAAATTATTGTGCAAAGGTGGCATCTTGCAGGTGAGAACTTTCACTGTATTTGTATTTCCATATGTTGAGGCACCAGCAAAGAATAAAATTTGTTCTAATGTTTTCTCGAGCTGTACAAAGCTCCAAAGTCAAAGCTCTCCAGAATACAGAAGAGCATGTACATGACTGTCTTCCAGATGTTCACCATATATGGGATTCACAATGTGTCATTTTAATAACTCCTACGCCACCCCCTAGCCGACGGTAATTCATCCCGCCATATAACCTGCAAAGAAAGAAACAAAATCAGATTTCTAACTGGAAAAAGCACTATTTCTTTCATAACTAAGATGTTAATAAAACACATGTTTCTATGTTTCATATCACAACTAATATTTTTAGCTTCATACATCTCTTCCAAAGATTAGGAGCTGGAATTGAGCACTGGTAAGTAGAATTATTTCAGACATTGACTGAAATATTCTTACTTATAGGATACTGTTTTAAGAATAAGAGAGTGTTATAACCACTTTTTGCATCATAACATTACACCTAGACTGACTTCTAACTATTATACGGAATCATACATTCTACATTTTTGTGTCTAATTTTGACCTTGGCTATATTATTTTCCCACCCACATTTTGCCTTTGCTTAATCTTCATCACATTGTTTATTTTTATCTTTTTGTCTTGTAGGTACTCTTTTTTTTTAAGTACTTTTTTTTCTTTTTTGAGGAGGACTAGCCCCGAGCTAACTTCTGATGCCAATCCTCCCCTTTTTTCCTTGAGGAAGATTGGGCCTGAGCTAACAGCCGTGCCCATCTTCCTCTACTTTATATAGGACACCACCACAGCATGGCTTGCCAAGCAGCGCGTCGGTGCGCACCCGGGATCCGAACCTGCGAACCCCGGGCCACTGAAGTGGAACGCACGCACTTAATTGCTTGCGCCACCGGGCCGGCCCTGTAGGTACTCTTTTAAGCCTCCTCAAACCCTGTATGGAACAAAACTGGACATGAGTAAATAAAGTCAGCATCTAGTTTGTGATATGTGAACAAGATCATCTTCAAAATTAAAGATTTCCATGGAAAAGATTATTAGATCCTCTGTCAGCTATAAGGTAAAATTGGTTTTAAGTTTGGGATATGTAACTACAAAAATTTAGATAGTAATCTGTCAACAGATGATCCTTAAGAATTTCATGAATATTGTTTGGTTACATATTACTAATTCTATTTAGTGACAGTAACTGAGAAACAAGTCCTTGCATAGGATCACAGTAAGTAAGTGGCAGAAGTAAACTTGGCTGTCTTCCCAAATGATGCTTACTTAAAATTCACACTAAAAATAAAAAGCTGTATGTGGAAGAAAATATTCCACAAGTGGGAGGCTCCTATTCATGAAAACCTGCCATTATCTCTGTTACCTCTATCAGGTTTTGCTAAAATGTTACCTTTTCAGTGAGGCCTTCCTGGGCCACCTTCTAAAATGGACAATCCTCCTTGGACCCCCTTCCCTGCCTTTGCTATTGGCCATACCACCCCCTGGGATGGCACTGCCTATCTCCTTCATTATCATGTCAGCTCCAGGAAGGCAGGGAATTTCGTTTTGTTCACTTTTGTATCCCAGGGTTTAGAACAGTCAGTAAACCTTTACTTAATGAGAAAGGTTGTGAAAATGTGACGCAGAAGCAATAAGTGCTACAATGTCATTAGTCTGATTTTAGTATTGTGACCACTGAGCCATACAGAGCCATGAGAGACATGCTGAATCCAAAGAATGTCATTTAAATATCCGTAAAAGTGTGGCTTTTCCAAAGATGAAGACCATAAAAACAACTCAGCAAATTTATTAGTTAAATCTTAGAGACTGATGAAAAAATCTGGGTGAGCAGTTACAAGCTCAAAATTAGAAAATGTATACTCAGAATGCAGCAGGAGTGGACTATGAGACTGCCCCTTGGAGGAGTGACTATAAAACAGACCTCAGCTTATCTTTCATGGTCATGAGGAAAACCTTTCAGAACGCCTGCTGCCTCAGATCTCACGTCCAGACTGACGCCTGTGCTTGCTGTACAACCTCAACCACACGGGCATCCTAGATTTGTTTAGGCAAATAAGCCCAATTTATTCAGAAAGAAACCCCAAATTGCTTGGAAGGTACAACTGCTTTCTTAGAAGGCTAGTATTTAGATTTAAGAATAGGTATGAAGTACATCAAACCTATAACATTAATATTTTGTATTAAGTTTGATAATTAACTATATATTTGTCATTTTAAGTTCCTGCAATGTTTAAGAGACTGGTATATTAGAGCCTCTATCCAATTAGTTTTGTGAATCTAGTATAAAATGTGTGATTGAATAAAGATTTAGACTTATGATTTATTTATTTATTTTTTTTTTAAATTTTTTATTTTTTTTTAAAGATTTTATTTATTTATTTTTCCCCCAACGCCCCAGCAGATAGTTGTATGTCATAGCTGCACATCCTTCTAGTTGCTGTATGTGGGACGCGGCCTCAGCATGGCCGGAGAAGCGGCGCCTCGGCGCGAGCCCGGGATCCGAACCCAGGCCGCCAGCAGCAGAGCGCGCGCACTTAACCGCTAAGCCACGGGCCGGCCCGAGACTTATGATTTAAAGTTTAAAAGTTTAAGAGAATTTTGCTAAATTTGTAAAAGTTTTTGAATATTTAAAATAAACACAAGAGTCACCTGATTTATGTGAATTTATAAGAACTACCTAGGTACTTAGGAAGGATTTGTTAGACAATTAAGGATTTAAATGCAAGGTAAAATTAAACCTATAAATATAGTTTAACATAGTTAAACTCTCTTAAGATGTAGCCTCTTCCCTAAAGGTGACTGTGAAAATTTACTAGATTTTAAAATAGAATAATAATATATTTAATTAGATTTTATTTATTTATTTTTATTTTTGTGAGGAATATCGGCCCTGAGCTAACATCTGCCAATCCTCCTCTTTTTGCTGAGGAAGACTGGCCCTGGGCTAACATCCATGCCCATCTTCCTCCACTTTATATGGCACGCCGCTACAGCATGGCCTGACAAGTGGTGCATCGGTGCGCGCCCGGGATCCAAACCGGCGAACCCCGGGCTGCCGCAGCAGAGCATGTGCACCTAACCGCTTGCGCCACTGGGCTGGCCCCATATTTAATTCGATTTTAAAATCTCAAGGAAAAAAAATCAGTTTTAAAATGAAAAAAAAATTATTTTTAAAAAAGCAACTGCAACTTGTTTTTCCTGGGCATAAAGCTGCCCACAGGAACACCAAAAAATTGCACTGACAGCTTGAGAGCCAAAGAGCAAGGCTCTAATTCTAACTCTGTCACTAACCTGCTCAGGCAAGTCATTTTATTTCTTGGTGCCTTAGTTTCCTCAACTGAACATGATCGGGCTAGAGAGATTTTTTTATTTGTTTTTGCTATCTCTATAAAATTGGACAGTCACTAAAGAGAAGAATTTTATAAGATGTCAGCCACTTTAGAGCAATGAAGTCAAAATAAGCTATCAAATATGGGTAACTTCAAGCCCTCTTCAAAGTAGTGCAAGAGGTCATTTCAATGTATGACCATCCTGATTTTGATGTCCATGGGCTATCTCAAGCCCATGATTTTTCAAGTCAGCAGTGAGGTGATCTGCAACATAGCTTAAAGGTTACCTCCATGTATTGGCATCAGGATCAAAAACTTCAATGGTCTTCAAATATGTTGTGCCATCAAAACCTCCCACAGCCATGAGCTGTCCATTCACCACTGCCAGGCCAACCTACAGGACCAAAACACAGCGGCTGCTGAAGAAACTAGACAATCACTGGGAAAATTTAGACTGGTTTCTAGATAAATCTCTTTAATAAAAAATAATTCTTTATGGCCTTACATTCTGGTTTACTTGAACACAGAGGGAAAAGAGAACGACAAAAATATATTAAATTATGGGAACTATAAAATTATATATTCAATTAGAATATTTACACAGAGTTGAAAACTTATATTTCTTGAATTTTAGGGAAAGCATTCAATGGGAGTGAGTAAGAACCTCCAAACTGCTCACTTCTGGGATTTGCCTGTTCTAATCCACTATCTAAATTGCCACTAATTCTCTTTTTAAAATACAGATCCATCCATGCTGTCACTTTCCTCTAAAAGCTTTCTATGCCTCCTTTCCACCCAGGAAGTTTCTTAGCTTAGCCTGATCTGGCCTATATTATAGATGGGATAGACTCAAAAAAGTTTGTGGAGACTGGTGGTGGAGCCAGGTGTGTTTCTGCCTAAACATTTGTGTTGGTATGCCAATTACTTGGAATATTACCTAGAAAAATTAGGTAGGAATATTTAGCTCTAATAGATACAAATGAATATGGGTGAAGTTAAATAAGATAGTAGATAAGACAGAGAGATACCTTTTAGAGAAGCAACTGATACAAGATAAACCATAAAAAAATAATTCTCTAATTAAAGATATGATTGGCTATAAGATATTTAACTACTTGAGACAACGGTGATCAAAATTAATTTTTTCCAGTACAAAAGTAGCAGGGGTTGTTTTGCCTAAAGGGTGCACTTCCTCACTCTCCCAATGTATTATATTTTACAGATCAGACCTCTCCTTCTGCACTGCCCTCTCTTTGTGCTTGTTTTCAAAGTTTTCAGTAGCTGGGCACTTACTCCACTACGGCGTGATGTCATAGCCACCACAGGAGACCACTGGTTAGTTCTGGGGTTGTATCTCTCAGCACTGCTAAGCTCTGTAGTGTCATCTCTACCTCCTACGGCATAGATCATGTCCTGATACACTGCACAGCCTAGGTGTTTCCTCCGGGTCCCCATAGGGGCTATGGTGTGCCATCTGTTTTCCTGAGGATTGTAGCGCTCCACTGCAGGGAAAAGAAAAACCAGTAAGTGACCATTCAACTATTTCCTCTCACCTCTAGTTTTTCTCATAGGTACCAAAATTTTGCGATAACACATATTTTCAATAAGCAATCTGATTTTTGCTTCTGAGCAGGGCTTGTATACCTTTGGACAATACCACTATACTCTCATTGGTGACAGGTTTCTTGTAGGTGTGGTAAGGTGGAAAGGGCCTATGTTGGAGTCAGGGTACCTAGTTCCAGTTCTGGCTATGACTTGTTAGCTAGGTGACTTGTGGCCTCACTCTCCTTATCTTTAAATGAGGGGATTAGACTATATGATCTGTAAGCACTATTCTGTACTAAGAATTTATTGTCATAATCCGACAACTTCTGTACTCCTGTACTTCCTTGCCTATATTCCCACCATTCTAAGCCACTGAAGAGAAGACAAGATATGTGACACCATTGTCACACATTGTCTGATGTGAGTGCCACACTGACACTATTCTTAGGCAAAAATATCCATTATTTCTAAATAGAAAGGATTAATGCAAACCTGTGTATAGCTGTAAGTTTTTATTTATTCTTTATATTACAATATAGAGGGTTTTTGTTTTTTAAGGAGATGGCTGGGGGGGAGGGAAATAATCATATTAAGAAAATAGTTCTTTTATTTATTATAAATTCTCAGCAGCTTATAAAGCAGAGGGAGAAAGAAATATTTGGGTAAAATACTAGAAGACTATGGCTGCAGAAGGAGCTGCGGAAGAGCTAAGATTGCATTCTCCTAGAAAGAAAATAGTTTTCCTAATAAATTATAGGATAACCTGGACTTTTTATATTTTTGTAGGGGGACCCTCCTAAGGAAAATGTGCTGCTTTGGGGGAACTAGACTGACTTTGGAAGGGACTAACCTGTATTGAGTGGAGATGTCCCATCAGAGCCACCTACAGCATATAAGAACCCTCCTAACACAGCCACGGCCACCCCTAGTCTTCTGGTACTCATAGAAGCCACTCGGGTCCACTTGTTTTCCTTTGGATCATACCTGCAGCAAGAGAAACCAAAGACTGCATGCACGTTTTTATTAAGTGAAGCCTTTTTCATAAGGTGTGAAATCATGCTAAAGATATGTTGGATACCAAAACTTGCTATGGTCAAATGCACAGTGAGAATCTAACATATTTTACTTAGTTATTAGGAAAAAATCTTAGAATTTGTGCCTGTGTCAGTTATTAAGCTATTTTTCGTACTCTGACTTATGATGCTGGGCCTAGAGGTCTGAAAACTACATTTCTCTTCTGCCAAGCTGGCTCTCTGTTAGATTCTGCCAAAAGGAAGGACTAGACCCTGGAAGTCTAGGGGAGGAAAAGGGACTGGCTCCTTCCTGTTTGCTTGCCAACCCTGTCCCTGTGAGGCATCAGCAATGGCCCTTCACTCCAACTGTACCAGTTAATTTCAGTTTCTAGTCTTTTTCTGGCACTTCCACAACTAGCCTTGTTGTGCTTCTGGGAGGGTTCAGTCACAGCTCTGTGAGGTACCCCCTCTGAGCTCCTGAGGTAAGAGGACAGTCTTCCCATTATCTACTGCTATGTAGCAAATCACCCCAAACTCAGTGACTTCAAACAGTAATCATTTTATTAACGCTCATGTTTCCATGGGTCAGGAACTTGGGAAGGGCTTTATAGGGAAGTTCTGGCTCAGGTGTCTCATGTGGCTGCTGCCAAATTGCGGCTAGGGGTGGAACAGCAGGATGCTGAAGCAGCTCGGGGCTGGCTGAGGATTTCTCCATGCAGCCTCAAAGTCTCTCCATGTGGTCTCTCCATGGAGGCTAGTTTGGACTTCCTCTCAGCATGGCAACCTCAGATAGCTACAGGCTTCAAAGGTGAGTGCCTTAAGAGATCCAAGTGAAAGTTGTACCACCTTTTATAACCTAGCCTCCGAAGTCACATAGTGCTGCTTTTGCCATACTTGTAAGCCAGACCAGATTCAAGGAGAGAAAACATAGATGCTGCCTCTCAATAAGAGTGTCAAAATCAAATTGTGTGAAGAGCATGTGAGATGGCAGGTGTTGTAATCATCTTTGGAAAATACAATCTTCCGAAACCAGCCAAGCAGCTAACCCTCCACAGAGATGCAAGTCACAGCTGGTCAGGATACCCTCTCCTCAGGTGCTATGGTCTTAGTTCTGTGGGATCTCTCCTCCAAGCTTCTGGGCTCTAATAACTCAAATCTCTTTCCTTTGTTTTCCCAGCTCTATGGTTCCTTCAGTTACTTCAGTGTCCTCTTTTCATTTTTTTTAGCCTTTTAATATCGGCTAACCAATTTTTTTTTTTTGCTGAGGAAGATTCACCCTGAGATAACATCTGTTGCCAATCCTCCTCTTTTTGCTTGAGGAAGATTCGCCCTGAGCTAAGATCTGTGCCAATCTTCCTCTATTTTGTATGTGGGTGACCGCCAGAGCATGGTTGCCGATGAGTGGTGTAGGTCTGTGCCCAGAAACCAAACCCAGGATACAGAAGCAGAGTGCACCAAACTTAACCACTAGGCCATGGGCTGGCCCCCAATTTTTTAATATTATATTCTCTCTACTGAAATAACTGGTATGGTTTGTGTTTTCTTTACTGGGCCCTGATTGATAAATTACTAGCATTCAGAAATAAATATGACAAAAATCACTTGAAATAGTGCTAGGAATTTTATTTTATTACACAGGTGGAAAATTCTGTTAGTATATTAAGTACTGTATGGCAAACTATATCAATATTACAGGAAATAGAAAATAAATGATACTAAAAATAGCCCTTGTTCTTAAGCAGCAAGTGAGGGAGACAGCACATTCTTAAGGAAAAAACTCTAAACAGATTCTGAGAATGTAGTAAGTCATGCAGATGAAAGAAGCAGAAATATAAATGCTGGAAAATGGAGGCCCTGGAGAAAGGTTATGGCTAGTCAGTGAAGGTTTCCTGAGGCTCATGCACCTTGAACAAAGTTTATCATTCATCACTTTTGGAAAATTGTCAACAAAAATTCTATCTCCAAATATTGCTTCTGCTCTTCTCTCTCTCTCCTTTCCTTCCAGGATGCCAATTACATCTACGTTAGGCTGTTTGTGTTCCATGAGTCTCTTATGGTCTGTTGTTTCCATTCTGTTTCTCTGTTCTTCTGTTTGGATGTTTTCTATTAATCTATCTTTGAGCTCACCCACTCTGCTGTGTCCAGTCTACTTCTGTCTAGTTGACCTCATTCATAAGTTAATTTTAGATAATCATATATTTCAGTTGTAAAATGTACATCTTATTTCTAGACTCCAATTCTATTATTAAAATTCTCTAACTTTTCACCCATTTGTTTCTCTTTTCCTCTATTTTATTTAATGTATTTATTATACTTATTTTAAAGTCTTCTGTTAACTCTAAATGTGGATCATCTGTAAATCTGCTTCTATTGTCTAATTTTTCTCTCAATTATTGGCCACATTTTTTGGTTTCTTCAGATGTCTCATAATATTTTTTATTGTATGCTGGACATTATTATAAAAGAATGGAATCCTAGAAACTGAAGTTGATATTATCTCCCCCTTGCCCCTCCACAACAGATTTACTCTTTTCTGTATTAGGCAGATAGGGTGAAATGTTGATCACCTCAACCCAGTCAGGAATTGAGCCTTAGTTAGACTCCAGTCCACCTCTGTTTCCGAATGTCTCAAGGATGAGATCTGCCCTGTATTTGCTGCAGGCCCCCCTCATAGCAGGACTTTATCTTCTAAGCACTGTAATACTGCATGAGATTTCACTCATCCTGGTCCTTTGGTCTCCTGTGCAACCCCAGCATTCAGCAAACATCCCATGGGGAAAAACAGCAGTATGTTTGGAACTGTTCTAGATTCCAGTCTGTCAAAAGTTCCACTGATTTCTCTCTCCTCCAGGAGAATCCCTCTGCCTAAGCCAAGTACAATATTCCACCCATGTTCAGACTTGGCAAATGTCCCCAAGGAAGAAACTAGCTGATGATCTCAGCTCACATAATTCGGGCTCTTTCTTTAATGGAATTTTACTTCATCTAGCCGTTGTTACTTCCACATGTCTCTGATGTTTTTAAAAATATATTTATACTTTGTCATTTTTTCCTAGTTGTTGCAGTGGGAATAATGGCTGTGACTACTTACTACATTCTACTTGGAAGCAGAAGTCTTTGCATAATTTTTAAACCTTTTTTTAATAAAATAAAACATCGATACAGAAAGCCACACAAAACAAATGCATAGTTTGACAAGTTATTATAAGGAAAGCCCACTTGTAACTGCCACCCAGGCCAAGAAAAATAACTTTGCCTGCCATACTGGAAGACCTTCCATGTATCCCTTTCTAATCTTAACGCTTTCCTCCCCCCAAGGTAACCATTACCCTGACTTTTACAGTAATTGCTTGTGTTTCTTTATAGTTTTATTACCCAAGTGTGCATCCCTAGACACTTACTCTTACTCATTAATTTTTTTTTGTATTTTTTTTAAAGTCTCTTTTTATCTACAGGTTTTTCCTCCATTCCCCCTTTTCCCCACCTTCCCCTACATTCATCTGTTTTAGAACCTGGGGCATTTGACCTGCAATTTCCCCTACAATATGGATTTGATCAATTTCCCCTACAATATGGATTTGATCAATCAATCAAAAAATTTTCTTTTATTGGGATACTTTTATAAAGAAACAATCTTCTTATCTACTATTTTGTTACCCAATTCACATGAGATACAGTTCATATAAGAAATGCTAGGTATATGCTTGCTTCTTTTACTTTATTTACTAGTTTTTCAAGATAATAAATTCATTCTCTATGATCTTCCAAAGGTAATCAATTAGGCTTTTATTTAAATATCAATAGGAAATCACAGCTTTAAATATATTTATTGGATTTTAATCAATTACAATTATCATCTCTTTGAAAGTTAAAATTTTCTCACCTTTGGTAAATGAGAACATCTTCAAGTTGGCTCTTGAGTCTTTTTGACATTTAGTAGTCTTTGATAGCTTGCTTGCTATCTAGTATGACAAGATGGTCCAGGCTCATCTGTACATTTCCTGTCCTAAACCTGGAATCAGACATTTCTCCAAGAAGCCCTGGTTTTTAGTGGGAAATGGAATTTCAAGACATAATCTGGGAGTAGAGATGTCACTGCCACTTGGTTGGTCATTATTTGAAGACCTCTTCAGTTGACAGAGCTACAATATACCTTTTTTTAAAAGAGGAATTTAATTCAAATTCAAATTCAGGATTGCAAGGTGTTTTATTTAACCTCTTCTATTTTACATCTATATTATTCCATATCAAGAACTCTGGTTTTCAAGGACACAGGAGAGGACAGAATTAGAATAACCTATACTCATTTCCTTTATTCCATATTATATGCATAACAGTCTTTTTTTTTTCCCCCCCAAAGCCCCAGTAGATAGTTGTATGTCATAGGTGCACATCCTTCTAGTTGCTGTATGTGGGACACGGCCTCAGCATGGCCGGAGAAGTGGTGCGTCGGTGCGCGTCCAGGATCCGAACCCGGGCCGCCAGCAGCAGAGCGCGCGCACTTAACTGCTAAGCCACGGGGCCGGCCCCTACATAACAGTCTTAAAATAGCAATATTATCACGTCAATATCTCTGAGAACAATTAAAATTTCTTTCTGCATATCTCTTCCCATTCTCCTCCCACTTTTAAAAATAGTGGTACTACATTTACATTGACTGAGCATATAGCTAGTGCATGCTACACTCTCTCCCTTTTAACCCTTATTTAGTCATAGTTCTCCGATTAACTGTATGTTTAATGTTCACTATCAGTCTTCTGTCACTATCTCTCTAGTAATTTTGTCTGAAGCTTGCTGTCTAGTAGATTCCTCTGAAAGGACTCATGAGAACAATGTTCCCTGATTTCTTACATGTTAACACTTCGTGCCCTTTATTCTTCAAAGTCAGTTTCTCTAGGTATAAAATCTTTGGTTTACATTTTCTTTGATATCTTAAATATGTTACTCCATTTTCTCCTGGCATAAAGTACTGCTTTTAAAAAGTCTAATGATAATCTAAACTTCTTTCCCTTATAAGAAACATGTACTTTTTGGTTGATGACTAAAGGATTTTTTCCTTTTTCTTCAAGGTCCAGTAATTTTATTAGAATATGTCTTGGTGTTGATTGTTCTGGATCAGTATTCAGAGGTTATATTGTATTCTTTCAGCAAACAATTTTCAAATTTTTTTTATTACAACAGAAATATAATTTTTAATTCTAGTTCTTAGCATTTGTTGTGTTCCCTTGGTTTGGTTTTCTTCTTCATGGACTCCTGTTATCTGTATATTGGATTTTTACCTGTCTTCAATATTTGTTGCTATCTCTGGAATCCTTTTTATTTCTTTATTTCTTTTTGAATTTAAAACATTTCCTCTTTGTCACCTTCTATTTTGTCTTTTTGCATTATCTGTTTTGCTTATTTGTTCTAGTTTAAATTTCCTTCTGAAATGATTTTTCCTTTCATTTCTAATATTTTTCTGAGTTTTGTCATCTCATTTGAGTTTTTCTAATTCTGACTTGTGTCTTTTCCTATCTTGCATCATTTTCCCTACGTCTTTTAGCACATTTTGAAACAGCTGATTACAGTTTTGGTCTGTTCTGTAGAAGTGTCTTTTGGATGTGCTTCTACTGTCTGTAGAGATGTTACTCTGCTGCTTATTCCCTCTTCACATACTAACTTTGCGTGGGATCTAACCTGAATACTTTCTGTTTCTCATTTTTACATGAAATGAGTTTTCCCGAACTTTTAGAAGGAGGAGTGGTTCGTGATAATTTTTCCCTTTCCTTTTGCTTTTTTTAAATAATTTTATTTATTTATTTATTTTCCCCCAAAGCCCCAGCAGATAGTTGTCTGTCATAGTTGCACACCCTTCTAGTTGCTGCATGTGGGACGCGGCCTCAGCATGGCCAGAGAAGCAGTGCATCGGTGCGCGCCCAGGATCCGAACCCGGGCCGCCAGCAGCGGAGCGCGTGCACTTAACCACTAAGCCACGGGGCCCGCCCGTGATAATTTTTCTAACTTCATGGAACTCTCTTTTTTTTTTTCATGTAGCGTTAAAAAATATAGTAGTTGTTTGCCTCCTGAGATTTATTGGCTTTCTATACTGCTGTTACTTTTATGTTGGCCTTCTCTTTTCATTGTATCTGTTGTCCTTGTCCTGCTCAATTTTCATTCTGCTCCCAGAAGTGTGGGCCCTGTGCTGGAAGGTCATCCTGGCTGGTCAGTTTTGAGGGTTCCTAGGGACTAGATGGCTCTAGCCTTGCTGATTCTCAACTGGGCTGATTTTGCCTCCCCAGAGGACATTTGGCAATATTTGGAGACATTTTTGGTCATCACAACCAGGCGTGTGCTACTGGCACTTAGTGAGTAGAAGTCAAGGATGCTGTTAAATATCCTACAACGCACAGGACAGTCCCTCACAACAAAGAATTATCTGGCCCAAAATGTCAGTAGTGCTGAGGTTGAGAAACCCTCTTCTAAGTCCTTCAGATCTTATTGCAGGTCCCTTGCACATATTCCGTATCAGGAGTGGGCAAAACTTTTCTTAGTTTCAGCTGTTGTTCATAAATTTTCCCCTCACGCTTTCAAGTAATACGCATTGGCTATTTTGAGGTTCTTCTCTTCTTAGATCTGTCAGAGTTCTTTTCTCTGCTTTTTCCTGCACAGACACTGACATCATGCAGGTCTTGTGGCTATTGGTAGTTTATCTTTGCCTATTTGTGTTTTAGGGTTTATCGGGATACCCTTTCCCCTAGTTTATTTTAAATTTTGTCCATAGTGTTTTTTAAATTGTGGTAAAATATACATAAAATTTACCATTATAACCATTTTTAAGCGTACTGTTCAGTAGTGTTAAGAACAGTCACACTGTCATGTAACCAAGCTCCATAACTTGTCCATAGGTTTTTAGCTTTGCTATCTATTGCACTGTTTTTATGTGGGAGTTTGGAGAGATTAAAAAATTATGCTGTTGCTGCTGTTATCTTTTCAGAGTCCTCCTGCATGGAGTTTTGAAAGTGGAGAAATAAGTTTCTTGACAGACATATAAAAGGGAACTGGCATAGCTTTCAAGAGTTACCTGGAATTTTATCTCTATTTAAGACAGAGTTAACTCTTCAACTTAACTATGGTAACCCACAAGTAAATGCTATTTCAAAAATTCTAATGACTCATGAAGCACTTCTTTTTAAGAAGTGAGGATGAAATATGGTATATTCTTGCCAGTAATTACAGCACATGGGACTTCAAAATCTAATCTCTAGGACAGAATGACAAAAACTGACAAGGCAAGAAATTAAGAAGAGAATCTATTCCACCAAAATTAACTGATTTGTAAAAGTATAAAGTAAACTTGGGCAGCCTACCCAGATTTCCCTAAGTATACTTTAAGAATTAATGAGAATCCATATACAAAACACTTTGGGGTCTTTATAAGATGTGTTAGACAAAGTATTATTACTTTAATCATTTTTCTGGAGGAAGTCTGGGCAAAGTAATGCATTAAGTATACTCCAAGTACTGGGAAAAAAATCAGAACAGATTTCAGAAGTGGTATGCTTGATATTATGTATAGAATGTAATTTAAAACATGATTCCAACACTTCAACGTTAGGCTTAATCAGTGTAACACATAGTTTAAAAAATCGAGCTATATCTTTCATCTTCCTAGACTTTAAGACCAACTGAAAAGTTTTTCCTTAAGGCCCCTAGGAAATCCACTGAATAGTGGATCCCCTAGTGTCCTAAATTGTTTCTTTTAAAGAGGCCTCTATATTTTTTTAAAAAATTGAAAATAACTTAAGAAAAAAATCACCTCTCAACAATGTTGAGGCAAGACACGCCATCCTGGCCACCCACAGCATAGAGAAAGCCTCCAAGCACTGCCACACCAACACTTGTCCTGCAGGTGCTTGTAGGGGCCACATCACTGCTCCACTGGTTTGTTTTGGGGTCATACCTGCAGAGAACACATCAAGAGCAGAGTTTGTATTACACAAAGAAAGTCTGGCCATGTTTACATATTCAATGATATATGATATATATTCTTTCCACTAAATATGGGCTGATTAATAACTAAAGTATGTGAGAGTCTAATTTATATTTTTATTTTTTGAAATTAATTTTTACTTAAATAAGTTATGTATAAATACATTTTCTTTTAAAAATTTTTTCAGAATGTTATAGATAAAGCTAAAGTTCCCTTTGAGTTCCACTCAATTTCCGGTCTCTTCCCGTTTTGATTTAATGTATATCCTTCAAGACTTTTCAGTAAAATATTTTTAAGTAGGTATATATCTATCCACATATATTTCTTCATATGCAAGCATGTTTTCTTTACATAAATAATAACATACAGTGGGCATTGTTTTTTCATTTAACCCATATTTCTGAGATCTATTTATGTTAATAGCTATAGCTCTAGATTTTTCCTTTGAACTATTTCATCATATCATGGATGAGATACATTATTTAATCATATTCCTACTGATATATCCTTATGTTGTTACTGATATTTTGCCATTAAAAACAGTAATTGCCCTTGTATATTTCTCCTTGTGCAAATGGATGATGAGAAGTAGAATCATGGGCATAGAGTATATTCATTTATAATTTTAAAAAATATTATCAAATTGCTCTTTTTGTAGCTATATCAATTTTATCTGTTTTCAGTTTCATTAATGTTTTCTTTTCTTTTTATTTAATTTATTTCTCCCTTTTTCTTGGGTTTTGTTGCTCTTTTTATAACTACTTGATTTAAAAGCCTGATTTATTTTTCTATCTTTTTTTTTGCTGAGGAAGATTAGCTCTGAGCTAACATCTGTGCCAATCCTCCTCTACTTTATATGTGGGTTGCCGCTACAGCATGGCTAATGAGTGGTGTAGGTCCGTGCCCAGGACCTAAACCCGTGAACCCGGGCCTGGAGCAGAACACAGGAAACATAACCACTATGCCATGGGGCTGGCCCCCATCTTTCTTATTTTCAAATAAATGCATATAAATTTACACTGCATATAAATTTGCCTCTGAATACTACCTTAGTTGCATTCCACACATTTTGATATATATGGGCTTAATTGTTATTAAGTTGTAAATATTTAATCATTATTACTCTTTTTTCTTTAACTCATCAATTTATTTATTTTTTGTGTGTGTGAGGAAGATTAGCCCTGAGCTAACATCTGTTGCCAATCCACCTCTTTTTACTGAGGAAGATTGGCCCTGGGCTAACATCCATGCCCATCTTCCTCTACTTTATATGGGACACCTGCCACAGCATGGCTTGACAAGCAGTGCGTCGGTCCATGCCCAGCATCTGAACCTGCGAACCCCGGGCCACCAAAGCAGAGTGCGTGAACTTAATCGCTACACCACTACGCTGGCCCTATCATCAATTTATTTTTAAGTGTGCTTTTTTTTTAACTTCTGTGGAGCTGATTTCTCTTTTTTTTTTTCAGCTATATAATCTATACCTCTAGATCTTGATATGCTGTAGGGTTTCATAGATATGTTTAGGAAATACTAAGAATCACTATAAATCAACACACCTGAATGTAAAAGGGTGTGTGAGAGAAAGAAGCTAGAAGTTATTAAAAAATCAATTATCGTAGGTTTCCAATGTGCCAAGCACTGTGATAGATATGGAAAAAGACATTTCAACAAACAATTATAGCCAATGTGATATGTACAAGTATGTTGAAAATACTTATGAAAGAGCAGAAGAATGTGTAGCTAACTTGTCTGTATGGTGTCACAAAAGGCTTTATATAAGAAGTAACATCTGAGTCTTAAAGAGATATTCCAGGGAAGAAAGAACAGCATGCATACACATAGGCAAAGAGGCATGAAAGAGGATAGTGTGTCCAAGGAATTGCGAGCAATTTGGTGGGTCTGCAGTAGCATGTTTAGGGAATAGTGGTGTGCCAGGGGAGACAGACTGGAAACATAGGTGAAGGTCAGATCATAAAGGACTTGTATGTTACACTAAGTGCTCTAGGCTGCCAACTAGTGCCACAGACGCAATACTAAAGCAGCAAGTCACATCTATATCCTAATTAACATCTCAAATGAAACTATATGAATAGTAGAGAAAAAAATTTCAAATTGACCTTACTTACCTTTCAACACTATTGAGATAAGAGGATCCATCATGGCCTCCTACTGCATATAACAGGTCATCAAGAACACTGACCCCAACTCCACATCGCCTTTTGCTCATTGAAGCTACCATTCGCCATTCATTGGTCTGTGGATCATATCGTTCAACACTGGAAATGGCATCTCCACTGCACCAACCACCAACTGGAGAAGTAACGATAGAAATGGTCAGGAGAACACCGGTCCTAATGCATAGAATTTATCACTCACTGCTAACCTTTAAATTGTGACCTAATGTTTGGACTTACCAAATGTCTCTAGAAGTAGGTCAAAACATAAATTGTGACTTTTACTTATTCCACTGGGATTGCTATAATCTTTAATTTTCTAAATAAGTTAGTATTAGGTCCATTTTACAGAAGAGGGCAAGGACACCAATTCAAATCAGATTGGGAGGTAATGTGGCATTTAATAAATAGAATGCTGAATTTAGTTAGAAAACTAGGGCTTGACTGTGGCCTCTACTAAGCTATGTGACCCTGGGGAAATCTCATAAACTATCTTATTTGTAAAATAAAAAATAAAAATTTAAAGGTGAAATAATCTATATATGAAACTGCTTTCTAAAGTATAAAACACTACATAAATGTAATGTGTTATTAAAAGCCAAAAGAAGAACTATAACTCAGAACCTTGCTTTTTTTTTTTCTAATTCCATCAGTGGAGAGGGATTTTGGCTCATCTACTCATGGTCTCTTAATAGGTCCTCTTGCGAGTAAAAATTCTTATGATTTATATTGCAAAATACTTTGCTTTCTGTTTAATCTGCAGTCTGTACTAAATTATACATTATCCAACATGACATTTAAGATCAGAAAACATTGTGAAGAAATTACATTTTTCATAAGTAATACCCAGAATAATAGGTCCAAATTGAGTTCCATAAAGCTTCTCTGAATGCTCTCTGAAAAAAAGTGTAGTTATAGCAGATATATTTAATTTGTTATTCTTTCAAATCATCTCTATTTCAATCTAAAATAAGAGCTACATTCTGGAGATTAAAAAGTAAAGTCTAAGGATACCTTAACCCCAAAACATTTGAAAACTGATGGTTTCTAGGGGTCTCAATAACTTCCTGTGCCAGACTAAAATGGGAATAATGTTTCTAATCTTCCTCTAGATAGATTTGAAAATTCACTTCATTTCAAATCTCAATGTGCTGTATGAGAAACCATTTTATTATGGTTTCATTTAAATCAGAATATTCAACTAATACTAAATCACACTAAGTTATATGCATATTAATTTGCTTAAATTTGAATTCTGTTTTAGGCTATATACTAGGAGTTTCAAGACCAGAGAAAACATCTTAAATTCCAAAGTAAAATTTGGCTGCAAATGTGAGGGTTATAAGCATTTGAGACAAAACAAATAGCCTAATCATTAAACCTTAGGCACAATTTTACAATGGAAGCCATTAAAACCAGCTTTTTATTGGATTACATGGCTCTAAATAAAATTAATATCACTTCATAAACTGTGTTCTTTGACACTAAAGAAAAAGAAATAAGCCTTTAGGAGACCGAACTTAAATCTTTCCTGTGACCTAGGGAAAGAAGAAAAGGATTGTTCAATTCCACTGCCTCATGGCGATTGTATGTGCATTATAATTTCCAAGGGTGACAGCATAACTAGGACAGACTAGTTATCATTATAAGCCAAGGACACTGTACTTAGCAAAATAAAGTGTATGCATAGTCCTTGCCATGGGAACTCTCAATTTAAGTTAAGCAATGTATCTAAGGAAAATTATTGCTGAAAAGGGGACATATAGTTTTATATGTGTGAGATGTTGACTCTAAAAAGAATTACTTCAAAGACAGATTTGGTCAAAAAGTGTTACCTTGAAGAAGGCAACTTTCATAAAGTATCTGGAATAAGAATTATTGAACTGTAAGCACTAAAAAAACCCCAAACAAAACAGAAACACAAAATTGAGAAGCATCAAGAAGCCTAATGGAAAACAAGAGGACAAGCCGGATGATATTAATAGGAGTAAAATGCTCTTAAGTCAGAAACTACTGAGATTATAGATTTGATCTTAGGCTTCCAGGGATTATCTCCACAGAGTAATGAAGAAAGGAAGACTCAGGGGGCTGGCCCAGTGGTATAGTGGTTAAGTTTGTGTGCTCTGCTTTGGCAGCCTGGGGTTCGTGGGTTCGGATCTCAAGTGTGGACCTACAAACCCCTCATCAAGCCATGTTGCGGTGGCGTCCCACGTACAAAATAGAGGAAGATTGGCACAGATGTTACTCCAGGGCCAACTTTCCTCAAGCAAAAAGAGGAAGATTGGCAACAGATGTTAGCTCAGGGCCAATCTTCCTCACCCAAAAAAAAAAAGAAAGAAAGGAAGACTCAATTTTCCAAAGTTAAGTGAAAATTTGTAATTTGGCATTCTAAAGATAATGAAAACAAAATTGCAATAAAAATCAAAGCAAATTGAGGATTAAGTTTTAAGTAGAGACAGATCGGTTAAGATTTAAAATAATGTCAGTGAACAGTATCACTGAAGAATGGTGTTCAGATCTGGATAACATAAAAACACTGAGAAGGTAGGGAAAACCAATACTAGTTGTAAAGGAAAAGACAATGGCTTTTCTCAACAAATGAAAATGGAAACCATAATAGTGTAAAAAAGGTGACATGTTTAACTTTTCTTTGTTATATTTTTCTGTGTTAATCAAAATTTCTATGCTGCATATGTATTCACTTTTATAATCAGAAAAACAAAAAGCGTTATTTAAAAATACGTTATCTTTCATGTACAAAGTGTCATTAGTAATTCATTACTGCTACTGGCACGTGCTTTCCGATTTTCTTGTTCCATTAATCATGCTGGGTCGATGTTAATTTCTCACTGGTGTTCCTCAGGATCAACATGCAATTAATCTTTATCGAGTACCTACTCTGACAAGATTGCTACACAATCTGGAAACTACAAAGATAAATTAGAAATGGTCCCTGCTCTCAAGTAGTTAACAATATAGCAGAGGAATGAGATACCCAATCAGCAATATGGCGCAACAAACTACTTTTATAAGTAAAAGACCTTTAAAAATATAATTTATCTAGTTTAACCAACAAAGCTAAACAAATGTTATAAAGACATCCCTGTGAACCTAACCAGATCTGACAATGAATTTATTCCCCAAGCTATGGCAACTATAGCCTGGTACGTGGGAATGAGGATGCAGATGGAGCGGGTGTGAGCATGCAAGTGTCTGTGTAAACCCACATGAGTATGTGAATATGTACCTGTGCATGCATATATAGGAATGAAAGTCATAGGAATAAATAAGAATGATAATAGAAATGACCAATCTATTAATAACAATAAACAGAGACATTAAGACACTGGGAGTATGGGAGATTTCAGTGCATCATGAATTAATAATTAAGTCTGAAATCTAAACAAGAATGAAAGAATGCTTTCAAAAAAGAAGGAAAAAGCCTTATGAGGATTAAAGAGAAAAAGAAAACTTGGCATCAATTTTCTTCTTGAAGAAATGTTGTAATCCTCTACATGAAGAAATTTAGATAAAAAAATTTTAAGAGAGAATTCAAAACATAAATTATCAAACTTTCCTCCTAAAAATATAGGGTAAAATATATTCTCACATGCCAAGAGAAAATTAAATTGGAGAGAAAAATAGGCAAGTGATTTGGCTGACAGGAAAGGATACTGTGCCTCAGCAATTGCATGAAATTCCCTGATGAAAAGGAACAGAACATTTCACACATCAAAATGGGACAAAAGAATCTGAAGATAACTACATCTAAGGAGCCACAGAATTACTACAATTTGGGAGCTCAAATACAAAGACTACAATATGTTCCAGTTAGCTCCATGAATCAGGATTTGAAAAAAAATTTGAAGAGAAAGAACTTGAATGAGCCCTCATGAATGGGATTAGTGCCCTTATAAAAGAGATCTCAGAGAACTCCCTTGCCCGCTCCTCCATGTGAGGACCTACTGAGAAGATGGCCTTCTATGAAGAACCAGGAAGTGGGCCCTCACCAGGCACCAAACCCGCCAGCGCCTTGATCTTGGACTTTCCAGCCTGCAAAACAGTGAGAACTAAATTTCTGTGGTTTATAAACCACCCAGTCTATGGTTTTCTGTTACAGCAGCCAAATGGATTAAGACAGAACTAGTGAGAAGAAGTTCTACTAAACAGTAAGAAAGCTATTATTCAGGGGAACAAGGGAGCTGAATTTACATAGACGGAAGTGAAACACCTGAGATTGAAAGTTCTCAGAGATTTAGGGGCTGACAGTAGGAGCTAAATGATACAGCAGGTTGTCTTGGGCTCAATTTAGCTCAGTAGAGCTAGGCAAGAGTGTAACTGTTTAATGTAAGATAATGGTTTTTTTTTTGGTGAGGAAGGTAGGCCCTGAGATAACATCTGTTACCAATCTTCCTCTTTTTGCTTGAGGAAGACTGTCCCTGAGGTAACATCTGTGCCAATCTTCTTCCATTTTGCATATGGAACGCCACTGTAGCATGGCTTGATGAGCAGCATGTATGTCCACACCCAGGATCCGAACTCTCGAACCCCAGGCCACCGAACTGGAGCGTGCAAACTTAACCACTACACCACCGGGCAGGCCCCAATATAATGTGTTTTGACAGTTCCATGTAATTATAAAGAGACCTGCACATTGGTATATAAATTAATGCATACTACTCATTTTAACAAAACATCCACTGCATGACATTTTTAGATTTATATAAAAATAGAGCACTCTTGGAGAACACCAGAGTTGGCTCATGAGTTAAGAGTCAAGCTACATGACAAATTATTATGTGTTTCTTATGACAGTGGATATCATCATTGTCCAAAGCACTACTCAAATGACATCTTCTTATGTGGGAAAATATTCAGTTTATTCACAGTACACTAAGATCCACACCTGCAAAGAGTACTTCTCCACATCGGATAGGTTTCCGTGGTCTTGTCCTTGGTCCTTGCATTAGTGGTCGTTCTTGAGGCAACAGGAGATAGTTTTTAGCTTCATCTACCAAGTCTCTGTGGAGAAAATTCTGCTTTTATTCTAAATGTCTAAATAACATTGTTAATCAAATGTAGTTTAGGAATATGTAAATTGGCAAAGGGGAGCAAGCATAAATCAAACCAAATCATAAACAGCCAGCCAATATTAAAAGGGCCACAAACATAAGAGCAACGATGCCAGTCACACTGAGTTGTGAACTGACTGACTGGTACTTCCATCACGACTTCATATCTTAGTGCAAATTTAGCCTAAGACTCAACATGCTTGCAGCCAACAATACCTTATGGGAATCTAAAAATTACAACTCAATCACCAGCCTGCATAATTACTGCTTTCTAATGAATTCTATTAGATTCTGCAGGATACTGGCAAAGTGGCACATCAGCCATGGCACTAGATATTTGCTGGATTAATTAAAGGAATAAAACTAGGTCAAAAATTGGATTGTTAAAAAGAAACACTGTACTGTCATTTATTATTAATTTTCTATTTGGTACTGTATGAATGGTTTACTCTCAACAAGTCTACTGAGGATGAACACATTTTTTTCTATCTATTAAGGTACTTATTGAGAAGAACCCAGTAATTACACTTGTTAAATACAATATCCTAAGACAAACTATTTACATATGTACTTATTTGACTTGAGTCCTTTGAGTGATTCAGTGCCTGATTAGCACAAATTCAATCTGTTACTTTGTTTTCTCTCAACTCTGAAAGTGTTTCCTAAACTACATGATATTTTCATTTCTCTAGTTATTTTATGTTATAAAGAGAAATAATTTACTCCTGCTAGACCAGTCCCAGGCATGACCCAATAATGCACTTTCATTATATGGCTTTGCTAAGGCCCCTTCTGAGTTTATCTTAAAAACAAAAACAAACTAAAACCAAAAAAAAACCAAGTGGTTGACCAAGAGCTTTTTCTAGCTTCCCCAGCCTTAAAAACAGACTGTGATCTCCTAATACCTGGTTTTTAATTAACTTGTTCAGGAGTTCCTAGAAAGAGTACTATAGAGCTAATACTTAGCAGCCAACACAAAATTAATAGTAACAACAACGACAACACTTATAGCAATGTGCTCGTCCCTGTTTTAAGGGCTTAATAAATATTAACTTATTGAATCCCCACCACAGCCCTATGGAATAGGTCCTATTATTACAATCTCTACTTTATAGATGAAGAACTGTAGCAGAAAGAGCTTAAAGTAACTTGTCTAAGGTCACAAGCCAGTAAACAGTGAGGTCAGGATATTAGGAAGGGGCTTCTTTTCAAAGTGCCTTCATAAGTACCTTTCTGCATCAGAATCAGTACAATCTGCTTTATGTTTTATGAGGGAGGGGTACCTTTGTATTGTTTCTTCAGATTTCAGCATCCATAATTCATATGGTTTTTCTTCTGCTATTATAAATATTTGGGGAACTTAATTACCATTTTTTTAAATTTAGAAGATAAACATCTAAAATCCCCTCTAATATTTCCTGTTAAAGGGACAGACTTCAGATATAGAAGAAATGCAAATGAATCTACATGTCGGACCTCTGTTCTACAGAGTCCTAATTCCAGAACAAGTGTTTTTAATCACTAAGGGAGACCCAAAGGTCAGTGTAGTCTAAGGAGTTCTGAGTATTGACTTGCTCTTTTTTTTTTTTTTTTAAATTTTATTTATTTTTTTCCCCCAAAGCCCCAGTAGATAGTTGTATGTTATAGCTGCACATCCTTCTAGTTGCTGTATGTGGGACACGGCCTCAGCATGGCCGGAGAAGCAGTGTGTCGGTGCGTGCCCGGGATCCGAACCCGAGCCGCCAGTAGCAGAGAGCGCGCACTTAACCGCTAAGCCATGGGGCCAGCCCCTGACTTACTCTTTCATTTTTATGTATGGAACATGCTGGGAAAAAACAATTAAAAGCATTATATGGTTTCAGATTTGAACTTAAATCTTAAACTGTGTCAAATTGGGAAAAGTAATTTATTAAATTTTGTATATATTATAGAGATAGCCCAATAAAACAGGTGTTTTGTGTGTTTGTTTGCTTTGTAAAAGCATTTAGGGTTTCTTTTTTTTTGTGAGGAAGATCAGCCCTGAGCTAACATCCATGCCAATCCTCCTCTTTTTGCTGAGGAAGACCAGCCCTGAGCCAACATCTATTGCCAATCCTCCTCCTTTTTTTCCCCAGAGCCCCAGTAGATAGTTGTACGTCATAGTTGCACATCCTTCTAGTTGCTGTATGTGGGACGCCATCTCAGCACGGCCAGAGAAGTGGTGTGTCGGTGTGCGCCTGGGATCCGAACCCGGGCCACCAGTAGGGGAGCGCGTGCACTTAACCGCTAAGCCACGGGGCCGGCCCCCTAGAGATTCTTTCAATCAAAAATCATGATAAAGCTGCTTCAACAAGCTCCAGTGGAAATCTTGCCTCAGCTCTTTTAGGAGTGTAGTAGACCTTGAACTCTGTCCGTAATCTCAGACGGCAAGGCCGGTCCTGTGCCCTAACTAGCCATATGTAATGGAATGAAAAAGTGTTCCTCCCACACTTTACGACAGAGTCAACAGCATTATTTAATTTATCTCAAGAAAAAATATATTAGCTGAGAAGTGCATCTTCAAATTCAAGCTTGCATTAAAATCTTAGAAATCTACCTCTTTATTGCCACTTCTACACCAATAAGCACCACACATAAAAAACTAATGGAATAGAATACGAGAAGTTCAGTCCTCTCTTCTTCCATCTCCTCCTCTTGACCCTAACCCAGAAGAAAAATCTGTTAAATATTGCGTTGGTTTCAGCACTAAGAAATACAATATTTAGGAAGCAATACAAATAAGGAAATTAGGAGAAAGCAGGAATGCTTAGTTGTTGATTTTTCCCATTCAGGGCCATTCATACCTGCATTCTTCATCACTTTTGATGAGGGGATCAGAGCCTACGGTGCCCACCAGGAACTTGGGACTAAGCAAAGGCAGACGAACATGCTGCAGCACCTAGGAGATAATAAACACTGTTAAAAGCATGAGCTCCCATTTGCAAGATATTCAAGAGACTACATAACCCATGCTCCCCTATTGTGTTTCCAATTGTTTTAGGATCTAATAATAAATAACGAAGAAGGAGGAAAGGCATAACTACTAAAACTAAATTAAATTTATTCTAACCACCAATTCAGTAATTAGAATAATCAGAAAACTGAAACCACACTAATATCACTTTAGAATGCTACTTTAAGCTTTCAGCAATATGTTATAAGCTCTTCTACAATTAGCTTATATAACTAGACTCTAATTAACAATCCAGAAGAATATCCTATTAAATTGCTAAAGACTATAGTCATAAAAACAAGAACATTGAGGGGCTGGCCCCATGGCGTAATCATTAGGTTCAGCGTGCTCTGCTTCGGCAGCGCTGGTTAGCGAGTTTGGACCCCAGACGCAAACCTACACCACTCGTCAGCCATGCTGTGGTGGTGACCCACATACAAAATACAGAAAGACTGGCACAGATGTTAGCTCAGCGCTAATCTTCTTCAAGCAAAAAAAGAGGAAGACCGGCAATAGATGTTAGTTCAGGGAGAATCTTCTTGAGCAAAAAAAAAACAACAAATAAAAACCAAACAAAACAACAAAAAAACAAGAACATTGAACATTCTGTTTAGTGACCACTTATGCTGCATATCATCCCTTTACTCTTCAAAATGTGGTGGGATTTCCAAGCCATAAGGAAGGGAAGCACGATAATTGCCATCCTTGCTTTCTTTTGTTCATTTTGTACCATTTAGGTTCTGACTTGTGCTACAGATCAAACCTAGAGTTGAGGCAAAATAAAAAGGAAGCAAAGGAGCAAAAAGTGTACAACGATAAACACTTAAAATGCTTCTAAACACCTATCTCCTTGATTATTCAGAAACAAATGGTCTTTATTACAGTCTAATATAAGAGACAGTGACACTGTTTCTTTTTTGCAAGTCAAATACACATTATTACATCCAGTACAAAAGAGTTACTTAGAGAAGCATTTCCACCATACCTGGGGTAACTGAGGACGTCTTTCTTGAATACTGTATTTGACCCAGGCCATCACTGCATTGAACACCTGTTCTTCACTGCGAACGTTTAGTTCATCACTAGATATTATATCAATGAGTTGATTGGCTGGAAGCAACATGAACTCTTCACTTTCCATCACCTGTTCAAAGTTAGGTAACAATAAAAGAAAAAAACCCTGTCATCATATTTCATTTATTGTCTCAATATTTTTCTTCAGAGTTATGGGGCACAGCTCTATTCCACAATGGAACTGAAATTTAAAATAGTACCAGAGGAAAAGAAAAGTTTAAAAAGGGGACAAAGATAGGCAGAGCACAGAGGATTTTTAGGACAATGAAACTGTCCTGTATGATCTACTACAATGGTGGATACATATCATACATTTATCAAAACCCATAGAATATATAACACCAAGAGTGAATCCTAATGTAAATTATGGACTTTGATAATGATGTGTTAATGTAGGCTCATCATAGCAAACGTATCACGCTCCTGTCAGATGTTGATAGTGGGAGAGGTTGTGCATGCGTGGAGGCAGGGTGACTATGGGAACTCCGTACTTTCTGTTCAATTTTGCTGTGAACCTAAAACTGCTCTAAAAAATAAAGTTAATTAATTAAAAAAAAAGGGAACAAAGGAGAGTACAGAGGACAATTAAAATTTGGGAAAGGGCCGGCCCGTGGCTTAGTGGTTAAGGGCGCGCGCTCTGCTGCTGGCGGCCCGGGTTTGGATCCCAGGTGCACACCGACGCACCGCTTGTCCGGCCATGCTGAGGCCGCGTCCCACATACAGCAACTAGAAGGATGTGCAACTATGACATACAACTATCTACTGGGGCTTTGGGGGAAAAATAAATAAATAAATAAATAAATAAATTATAAAAAAATTTAGGAAAAATAATTTGTGATTCAAGCAATTTAAGAAAAATGACATCTTTTTTTCTAAAATGAAGTAAAAAAAATAAAAATTTATATTCAAAATAAACTAAACTAATACCAAACTATAACTCTAGAAATATAGGAGGCATATAAAAAAATTATGAAGCTTTCAGAGGGAGATTAGTTGCTGAAAGGGCAGGGTCTAGGGCAGAAACACCAAGGGGCCAGCTTAAAAAACGAAGAGGGTGTCAGCAATTCTACATGCAAGAAGGAATAAAATGAGGAGAGAGACTCAGGAAAACCCCTGAGGACCAAACCACTCCGATATATGTACATCAGTGAGCAATTACAAACACATCAATAATTTATCTTTACCCAAGGCTAGGGAACTGTCAGGATGGAGATGAAATGGCAACAAGGATATCACCCTGTTGTGCAGTCCAGCCACAAATCCCAAGAGCTCATAAATTTTGTCATCAGTGTGTAGAGTAAAAGGGAGGCAGAGGAGGGACACAGTCACTGCTATACTCCATGTGGTTTGTTCTCTCATTCAGAAGATGGTGCTACATGTGATGTCTATTAGTGCAGGAAGGATGTGGTTAAGAGCTCAAATTCCTATGTGTGACCTCTAATGCGGATGCTGTATTCTCTTGGGACGGGGTTATCTTCAGGGTCATCGAAAAGTCAGAATATTTAGCAAGATGCAATTTAAGCCATAACAATTTGAATATCTGATTAAAAATGTTTTCCCCAAGAACATTAGAAAAAATGCAAATCTCAAAATAAAACAGTTAAGGGTTAAAAGGTTAGCTGTACTTATAGTGGAAAATACTAACGAGCACTTCAATTTGTATGGCAGAAGTCTTCAAATCATCTTAGTGAGAGACCTTCTGGGATTCAGGAAATTAAATAGGTAACCTTTAAATTTTACCTGGGGTTGCTTAGCCAGGTAACTTAGTAGTTAGAATGGCTGCTTTGTACTCTCTGTGGCAAGGTAAGCAAATAAAACATTTAGCAAATAAAAATACAGGACATACTTATAATAAAAATTATTTGTTGTTCATCTGAAATTTAAATTTAACTGAGCACCCTGTATTTTATCTGGTAACCCAATGTTGGGGGCTATAAAGTCAAGGGCCAAATTTGGAAGCTAGCTCCAAATTAAGTGTGCTGGCCTTCACAGCATGCAAAACTTTAGCCATGGCTGTATCTTATTTTCTTTTCACTCTGTTTCTTTACTTAAGTACAAGTATGGTATCATATATCTTTGTGAAGTACCTTAACATCTTTTCAGATCTTTGTCAGAGTATAATTTTTTTCCCAACTTAGTGATTATAAACAAAATGTTATGTAAATATCAACGATCACCAAGTTTAAAGTTTAATAATAAACCATCATGATATTAACAAGTCACTTACTGGAAACATTAAATGGCAAGAAGACATGAAAATCTATGTGAGAAAATATTTGTTTGGCACTAACAGAAAAGAGTAAAAATAATACTTTTGATAAACAAAATCTGGTTAAAATGTCACTTCTTTTTCCACCAACAAGATATTAATGATCTACCATTAGGGCAATCTAGCACTGAAGTCTATTTTTGAACCAACCAACCAGGTTAAGAAAACAATGCATTAAAGTATCTGCTTTTTACAATAAGAGTTTACAAGAGATTTGAATTTTAAGTCCCACACTATTATGGTAATGAGCTTACTTTTAGTTTCCTCAGATGAATGTAGATGTAATTTGAAGAATGAATGAAGCTGAAAACAACAAGAATGAATAAGCAAAGTCATGTAGATTTGTTCTAACAGAAGTGAATGGTGAACTTATTGTTGAGCTGAAAGACAATTTTTAAATTTATGTTTATGGGCAAGAATAACACTGTATGACTTAAGCTAGGTCTAATGAAATAGAAGGAAATTAAATATAGATTTAGGTTTAAAAATAATTTAAACTAGTCACAAATTTTAAGCCCCACATAGTGAGTTTTTTTGGATCTACACAGAACCATTCTAGTCCTTGAACAGGGGTAAGGTTTCCTCACCGGGATTTCATTATGGTATGGGCCAGGTTCACTTTGGAGACAGGGTTAGAACTGGAAGGGATTCCAAAACTTTCTTGACTGTTAAGGATATTCTTCAGATATTTGAAACTGCCTTACATCAAAACACAAGCTTTGGTTAAAGTCGAAAATTTTTTAAAATCAACTTTATTTATTTTAAATGTATAGTTCAGTGAGTTTTTGATAAATGTATACACTCATGTAACCATGACCACAATCAAGATATAGAACATTACCATCATGCCAAAAGGCTCTAAAGCAGGAAATTTTTAATCAGGGGTCCAATGACTTTGGAAAATTATTTTGGAAATTCTTAGTGATGGCAAATCTTTATTTTTGGAGAGTGGATTTGATGTTTGAAAATAGTGTAATGAAATTAAGAGTCAAGTCTGTTAAAGAAGGTATGTGAAGAAGTTAGATTATTTTGAATGAGAAATTGTGTGACTATAAAATATTGACTATTAACTTTAGTGAGGTACAACTCCATTTAGTCATGGTGTGTTCCTCTTTTTATATTTAAATGCATGAGGGATATTGATCTCTAGTTTTCTTATAGCATTTGTGGTTTTGATATCAGGGTGATTTTGTCCTTATATTTGGCAACCTCCTCCTCCTTTTGCTGAAAGATTTTGTGTAGGAGTAGTATTATTTCTTCCTTAAATGTTTGATAGAATTCACCACCTGAGACTGGCATTTTTAAATTATGAATTCAATTTCTTTCATACATATAGGGTTGTTCTAGTTTTCTTCTTGAGTCAGTTTTTGTAATTGGTGTTTTTCAAAGAATTTGTCCATTTCATCTCAGTTGTTGAGTTCATTGGCAAAATGTTGTTCATAATATTCCCTTATTATCCTTTTTAATGACTGAGAGATTTGTAGTGATGTCCTCTCTTTTATTTCTGATACTGGTAATTTGTGTCTTCTCTCCTTTTTTTCCTTGATCAGTATAGCTAGATGTTCATAACCACTGATACAGAAACTTAAAAATTAGAAGAGATTACTTTGTATACCTCTATACAGATAAATTTGAAAACTAGATGAAATTGATAATTTTCTAGGGAAATATAGTTTACTGAAATTGATCCTAGTAGAGAAAGAAAATTTCATAGAAGAAATAGAGAAAATTATCAATAAATCACAAAAAAAGCACTAAGCTGAGATGGTTTCACAGGGAAATTCTACCAAACTTTCAGAGACTACATAGTTTTAATGTTGTATAAATTGTTTCAAAGCATAGAACATGAAGAAAAACTTCTAACTCATTTTCACGAAGTATAACATTTATATCTAACATGATAAAGATAGCACAAGAAAATTAAAGACTAATATTGCTTATGAATATTGATATAAAAACACTAAATAAAATATTAGCAGATAGATTCCAACATCACATTACCAGTACACCATGACCAAAAGATGTATACCAAGAATACAAAGATGCTTCAATTTTAGGATTCCATTAATGTAATTCATATTAATAATGGGTTTAAGAAGAAAATTAAAGGCCCTTGACAAAATTCAACACCATTCCTAATAAAAAGCATCCAAGGAAAAAGGAATTGTTGGACATGGATACTTCCTTAACATGATAAAATACTCACACCTCAAAGCCAGTACATAATGGGAAAACACCAGAGGCATTCCTAGTAACGCCAGAAACAAAGGAAATATGTCCAATATTTCCATTACTATTTAACATTTTACTAGAAGTATTAACCTAAGCAACTAGAGAAAAAAAACAATTAGAGGCATTAACAATCGGAAAAGAAAAGATAAAACTATTAACATGCATATGATATGACAGGATGCTCAGAAAACTCTAAAGAATCAATGGTAAATGTAATTCAAAGAATAAAAAAATTCAGTAATGTAGCTTACATGTACATTAAGGATTAAGTGGTTAGAAGATATAATGGAGGATAAAAACCTATTTACAATAGCAACAAAAAATATACTTAGAAATAAACTTAAGAAGAAATGTACAAAACCTAAATGAAGAAAACTACAAATCACTCCCAAGAGATACAAAAATAGAATTGAAGAAATGGAAAGACACCTCTCATTCTTGGATAGGATAACTCAACTTCATAAAAATAATTGTTCTTCTTAAGTTAACTCATAATAAATTAATAGAATCCCAATAAATATACTAATGAGTTTTTTTCTTAGAGCTGGATAAGGTGATATTAAGTTCAT